TCCACACATACATACAATGTTGTTTGATTAATTAATTGACACGTTTGGAAGAATGCTCATGGGTCTTTTGTTTTATTTATTCTCCACACATACATACAATGGTGTTCGATTAGGTAATTGACATGTTTGGAAGAATTGAAGGGCTAACATATGGTGATGGGCACCATGAACAACCCTTGTACATGTTTGGAAGAATTCATATCCCCATGCCAATCATAATCTTTACGCATCATTAAAGTATTCATATATAAAACATTTGACGGTTCAAAGAATGGAGGTGTTCCACTCTGTAGTGATCTCATTTTTTTTTCGCTAAACGGTGTTAATATTACATAATTCGGATTTTGTTCGATAATGGGGTAATGGGTGCGGAGTTATGGGGCCTATTCCAAGGGTTAAATTTGGCTTGGGACAAGGGGCATCGCATGGTTGTTGCAGACGTCGATAACAATAGCGTAGCAAAGGTGGTGTTTTAGGATGCGGTTCCGGCTGGGGTACACAGTAGCATAATTCTAGGAGTTCGAGAATATTTTGCAACAGACTATCTTGCGTCAAGACCCCCACAGGGGTGAAACCGTGGTTAGAGCACGACATCTTATGGGTTTCTTACCCACCCCCACAAGGGTGAAACCGTGGTTAGAGCACGACATCTTATGGGTTTCTTANATGTTTAACTAACATTAACATAGTTTAAGCAATAAAATAAGCCTAAATTAGACACAAAAAAGGCCAAAATGAAGAGGCAAAGTCCGAAAAATATAACAAACTAATAAAACACATTCCACCGTTGGTGGAACAACAAATTAAACCATTCTCATGATATTCCTACCCGACAAAATTAATGGGATCACGAAAAATAATTGATATTTGAAAGAATTAAACCAATCTTCTGACATCCTGATGAAAAAACATAATCACAAAACATGTTCATAACCATGGTTTGGAAAACTGGATCAGACTAGTTGGTTGGACTGGTTCAATTCCCTGGCCAGAACACCGGTCCAATTTGGGATATTGAACTGTTGGGCCAAAATACTGGTCATGAACCGTTCGCAGTTCATTCGGTCCAACGGTTTGTAATTTTGGACTTGTTTTACTACAAACCCATAAATCGCCATCAAACAAACAAGAACTCTGCGTGTGGTGAAGTGATAAGAAAGGCGCTTGCATGTGGAGGGTACCGAGTTTAAAACTCTGGCACCAGCATTTTTGTCTTGTATTACTATTATACTAGTACATAACCCGTGTATTACATGGGTGTTGACTTAGAAAACTTTTATAAAAAATATTAAATTTTTTATTTTTTTAAAAATTAAAATAATTTAAATTTATATAAAACATTACTTTGAGTTTTAACTAAATTGTCAAATTATATCTTTTTAATCATAATAATACATACATTAAATGAAAATGTCAAACCGTGCTGAATTTTTTTACTTATGTCATATAAAAATATTGATATTATTTACTATTACATAAGTACAAAATATATATCTTAAATAAATAGATATAATATGGTGATATGTATATGCATAAGTGTAGAATATGTTTATTTAATATTAAGCAAAATAGATTATTTTTTTTACTTAATTATATGTCTAATACATCAAGTGTCGTATCAGTCGTGCTTCATAGTTTTCTAACTTTATATGTACTTTTAGAATTTAGATAAATAATTATTTATTTTTATTACGTTGACAACATACCAATTAGATTTGAAATAAATATCATTTTTAAAAGAATACATACCAATTTCTATTACTTTATAGTATAATTTATAGTTTACTTGATATAATTTAATTTAGTTTGATAAATAAATTTAAATTTTATTTATAAGGATATATATTATTGTTTTCTATTATATATATATAAATAAATAAATAAATAGTAAAATACAAACGGACTTCATAACATCAATTTAAATGCAACACACTAATTAAGATTTTTTTTCTTGACAATAGTAACCCTATTTAATGGACGTTATGGGAAACAATAGAGATGGGATATGAAGAGACATTGTGTATTAGATGGTGGTTGAAAATGAAAAAATATGAACAAAATATCTAGAACGACATTTATTTTATCTGTGATCAATTAAGCCAAAGTAAAAAATAATAAAAATAGGAGGGAGTATATATTATTATATATTTTAGTATGACACATGTTAATTGTGCAACTTATATGTGTTATATTATAATAAATTTCTACCTTATAACATAAAACTAGAGATGTTAAGGGCGTGATTGTATATAATTTCTACAGTAAATATCCCACTCAAAACTCAAATTTAACTCAACTTTAACTCAACTCCACTATCTCCAATATTATCAATATAATTAAATAATATCAACTAATCATTATTACACACCACATCAACTTTAATTCACCATTCACACACTCACATAATTTTAACTAACCATCACTTCCAATCATTTTCTCTTACTTTTACATCAAATCAACTTTAACTATTTTAATTTAAATATTATTTTACTATATCCACTAACAACTAACCATACTACTTTTTTTCAAACTTAAACTATAGTTAAGAAAAAACTAGTTTTTTACTAGTTGAATTCATATCCAATCACCCCCTAAACGGGCTAGCCCTAGCGGTTTTGGGTAGCGGGCTTCGAGTTAAACGGTCCGGGCCTAAAAAGCCTGGATTTAAACGGGCTACCAAAAAAAGGACCTAACCCTAACCCTAGCGGGCTTCGGGCTAAACGGGCTATGGGGGCTATGGCTATAATAATAATAATAATAATAATAATAATAATAATAATAATAATAATAATAATAATAATAATAATAAAAGAGTAAAATATAAAAAAAATAACAACAGCTAGTTAAAAATTATATTCAATGGCTATTTAGTATTTACTGTCTATCACTATGTTTCATGTATTTCTTATTAGTCGTTCTGATCGGCTTAAATATTTTGGTATGAAGTACAATAACAATATTGTTAATAATTATATTTCAAAATCATAATAATCCATTACAACTCGTAGTTACATGTGAAGTGGAATATCAAAATTGTAATATACAAGGAATTTAAGAGCATATTACTCACTTGATGCAAACATTTACACCGCTCAACCCTAGTTAAACGGGCCAGCCCTAGCGGGTTCCGGGCTAGCCCTGGCGGGCTTCGGGCTAAACGGTCCGGGTCTAAAAAGCCCTGATTTAAACGAGCTACTAATAAAAGGACCTAACCCTCTTTTTTTTTCGGGCTAAACGGGCCGACCATCTCTACATATAACTACATTAAACATAAATATATTAATTGTTAAATAATTTTATTTTTTAATTAATTTTAATAAATAATTTTATTATTATTATAAAGATAAATATAATTTATTTATTTTATATATACAATATAGATGTCAAATCGAAGCTTATCAAAAGATGATTAATTTGATATATTATATATGTAAAACCGATAAGAAATACAAAAGTTATCAACTTTTAAAATATATTTGCAATTCAATAGTTATAATAGGAAATAATATTAAAATACAATTAATACAAATATTAATTTATATCCAAGCCTAACTCTAAAGCATGAGTTTTTGCCAAATAAAATTTTGAACCATGAGAGTTTGTCACGTAGGCTCAGCGCATTCTGAAATTATATATAGATGAGATATGTTTGAATTTTTGAATGGACCATTCCATAGATTGGAATGACTTTTGACTTTGTATAAGTGTTATGAACGCTCCATACCAGCATTTTTGTCCTGTATTACTTGTTATATATGTTTGGATTTTGTAATGCACCATTCCAACATGGATTGAAATGACTTGTGAAATGCACAAGGATAACATGTGTAGCCCATGAATTTCTTAATTTTAATCAAAATCAAAGCTTAAATTTAATTTTAATTTTTTATTCTTACATAATGAAAATTGAAAAGAAAAAATAAAATTAAAATGCAAATTACAAACTTATAGTAAACTACAAATATGATATTGATTATCGAACTCTTATTTAGAAAATGGCATTAGAAATTAAAAAAATAATGATAAAAATATATAAAATTATATATGATAAATATAAAAAAAAAATAAAAAATTATATATTAATTAAGTCGGTTCGATCGATCTAACCACTCTGACCAGTGAACAGGGGCGAAACTAGAAAATTAGTTGAGAGGGAGCAAAAGACATGACATAATTTGTAAAAGGTAACAAAAATACATAAAACAATTTACCTTATAATAACAATTGTTGGCCTTGTGAATTGTGAGTGAGGTTTAAAAACAAAAAATATGGGGGTGCAAAAAATAATTTAAGAGGGGGCGAATTAAAATTTTTAATTATAATAATAAACAAAATTAAAATTTGAGGGGGGCAATTGCCCCCCTATTCATTAATGTAAATTCGCCTCCTGACAGTAAACTATTGAACCGATAACTTACATGTTCCATAGGGGTGGCCAGTCCACGGGCCGGGTCACGGCCCAGCCCGGCCCGCTGGGTCCACGGGTCGCAAGTTCATGACCCTTGACCGGCCCGCATTTTCTTAGGGCCGTGGGTTTGGACTGGCCCTGAACCGCTGGGTCACGGACCTGTCGGTTTTTGGCCGGTGCAGCCCGCTAAAAAATACACTGCCGCCCGTCATTCAACCCGTCGACCCGGCCTGGCCCGCCGGGACAAAAAAAAAAATAATGAACCTTAACCGAACCGCGACCCTACGGGTCCGGTTCAACGAACCGACCTCCTAAGAGTCCGGTTTAACGAACCGACTCTTAGGAGGCCGGTTCGGTCCGAGCCGGGACCGGTTCACGGGTCAGTTCCCGGGCCGATTCGGCCCGTGGACATATCTACCTGTTCCATTTTCGAAACCTTAATCGGAACATAACAAACCCAACATACAGTACAAAAACCATACGGGTAAATTTGGTCCATTTTGTTTTTTCAATTCAAAAGCGTTGGTCTACTAATATTTATTTAATATGTTTTTTCTTTCCTTTTTGAGAAAATATTTATTAGGGATTTAATTTTAAAACCCAGGACCAGCGTTTGCTCAGCTCCCCTAGGGTTTTAGAGAACACTGCAATTGCGCCACAACAATGGCTTTCTGGGGTAAACTTGTCGTGTCGCAAGGATTTCTTCAGTTTAATGTTCTGAACTTGGCTGCTGCCCACTTTTAACTACGCTGATCATATTTTAACACTCTAATTTGCTCATTCTGAAAAACTCAGGAATTGAAGTGAAACCAGGCAAACCGTATGTTCTTTATTCTGACGAGGAGAAGGGAAGACTTCACGTGTCCCAGGTTTGTTTTCGAGGATGTCACTATTTCTTCGCGTTTTCTTTTTCTTTTTTTTTTTTTATTTTTCGTGATAGAAAATGGTCTTTGAGTTTATGGAAGTATTATTTTGAAGCAGAAGCCATTTTTCCTACATTTGGTGCTAAATTGAAATTTAATAGACGCATGATTATTCTGTTTAAAGCTGTGATTGTAATTTGATAGATGCATGATTTTCTGTTTAGGCGACATTAGGTGCAGGGTCCTCCACTAAGAAGAGTATTCTGCAGTGTAAGGTGGGAGATAAGAAACCCATTTACTTGTGTTCATTGTTGCCGGAAAAGCTCGAGACTTGTGCATTGAACCTTGAGTTTGAGGAAGGCGAGGAAGCCGCCTTTTCAATTATTGGCTCTCACAGTGTGCATCTTTCTGGATTTTTCTATGGAGGTGATGAAGATCAGGATAACCTTGAAGATGATTATGGGTCGTATCCTTCTGCTTTTGCGGGCTGTATATATGAAATATATTTGTTTTTTATTCATTGTCTTGTACAATGTGTCCATTGCAAATGGAGCTGGAAGAGTCATTGTTGACAATTCTCCTGACATCTAATAATGGACTAGATCAAAATGGCTCAATTAAATTCTAGTGCTTCTTCTATTAGTGAAGTTCTAGAAAAAAAAAATATATCAAACGGCACAATGCACCTTGGGTCGCTACGGAAACAACCTCCTTGTATAATTACAAGGGTAGGGTCTGCGTACAACTGATCCCCCAGACCCCAACCTGTTGGGAATATACTGGTTATGTTGTTGTTGTTGTTGTATTCATTGTCTTGTACAAAATGTGTTATTTATTTTTAGTCAGAAGCAGCATTGTGTGATTAGATTTTTTTTTTCTTTTTCTTTTTAATGCAAATATGTTGGCATATTCTTTAACTTTTAACTGAAGCGATTCTTATGATGAGGGTGTTATGGTGACTGATTCTGAAGATGGTGGTTCTAGCTTCGACTCTGAAGATGAAGATGAGGACGATGACTTTGACATGTATCCTTCTTCGCCTGTTCCCAACAGTGGAGGTAGTTTGCATGATCTTATTTATTACGTTTTTTTATTTCTGAATTTAAAGTTACTTCTTCTGAAACCCGTAGTTGTAATATTTTCTGATCATCTCAAGAGAAAGATCATGATCTGTTGAACATTTTTCCTTGAGTGTATTAACAATGTTCATGACAAAGACATTTTTGTTATTTGAGGCCTGTCCTGGCTTTGGGAAAATAACATCTTTGGGCTATATGATTGCATGAAGTTCATCTTTGTGATGTAATCAGCATGTTAATTTAGGTTATTTTTGCTTTAAGATACAGTTCTTGTTAATTTTTGCTTTTTTTTGTTTTTCTTTTTTAGTTAAAATTGAAGAAATTGTAGATGATGAGAAACTTAGCAATGATGAGCATGGCTTGTCCAAAAGTACAAAAAAGAAGAAAAACGAATCTAGGGTGTCCAGTGACAATGAGAACTCCAACCGCTCAATTGTTGCCAAGAATGGTACTGATCTTTCCATCTTTGAAAGTGAAGATGAAGATGGTTTTCCCATATCTTCACACAAAACGAGATCCGATGCCTCCAAAGATCGGAAAAACTTAGGGAAGACCAATATGGAGACGAACATTGAGAAAACACAGAAAAAGAGTGAAAAAGTTGATGCTGATCTTGGCAACAAGTTGAAAAGAAAAAGCGATGCTGTTGATCAAGATGAGAAACCTGCAAGGTGTTTATGAATTAAATTTTCCAAAAGTTGGTAAATCATTTAGTTTTTATTGGCTATGGACAACTTGGTGCTTAAAATATATACCATGTGTGTGCAGCGGAAATGTTGAACCAGTCCAACCTGCAGATAAGAAAAAGAAGAACAAGAATCAAAAGGTTATTGATAAAGAAGAAAATAATCAGGTAGCTGAGATGCCAAATCCCAATGCTATCGAAGAGGCTCCAGTAGCTGAAATTGGAAATGACGTGAAGCCAGCTCCTAAAAAGTAAGCTTTGTCTGCATTTTTGTCTTCCATAATTTTTTAATTCATAAGTTATTTGGTCAAAATGAATTTTTTTTATCGAACTCGTTATTTGGGAACATTTATATAACACTGCTGATTGATGCCTAGACACGACACTTGTAATATTTTCCTGCCTGTGACTAGTTTTGTAGCTTTTCCAAAATTGGGTATATTTTCAGCATGTAACCAAACTTCTTTTCGACTGATGCATTCATAGCCAAAGACTTATCATTCAACTATATTCAAATATTAGGATACTGATGGTATTTATGTCACAATGATTGTAGGAAGAAAGAAAAGAAGAACAAAAAGCAGAAAAAACAGCAAGAAATTGTGCAAACTCCTAATGCAGAAATAAAACCAACGGACAAAACTGGTACTGACTTGGAGAAACAAAAGAAAGAAGCCAAGTCATTGCAAGTGAGAACTTTCTCAAATGGTCTGGTGGTAGAAGAGATAGCAATGGGTAATCCAGCGGGGAAAAGAGCTACTCATGGGAAAAAGGTGAAACTAAATGCCTTTTCCCAAAGTTATTGTGAACCTATTTTTTTTTTTCCACATAATTCTAATCTTTGTTGTTATTGCAGGTCAGTGTCCGTTACATTGGCAAGCTGAAGAAGAATGACAAGATTTTTGATTCAAATGTTGGAAAATCACCCTTTAAATTTCGTTTAGGTATGCCCTTTGCTTGCAATTTCTGGATGATGGTTAAAGTCCTTCATATGTGCCCATGTTCAATTTATTCTTCTCTATGCAGGTATTGGCCAAGTTATAAAGGGATGGGATGTTGGTGTTAATGGTAGCTCCTGCCACGTTACAACCTACTGCATTATTGGATTTACTTGTTTAGCTGATTTTATAACGTTAATTCAAATCAAATTTGAATGTGCAGGCATGCGTGTAGGGGACAAACGAAGACTCACAATTCCTCCAGCAATGGGGTATGCCAACATAATCATCTTCAAGTTTTGTGTTCATTCCTTGCTGTGAAACCGATGTGCGATACCAAGGATTCTATGAGTAACAAGTCAAATTAAAAAGAATGAACATAAAATATGATAAATATTTGAGTAGCTGAAGTCTGAAATATAACATAGATAATTGACTATAGATATTCTGCTTATCCATCAACTGTAGGCACATTCACTATCAAAGTGTATCTAACATTTTGGCTTATCAATTGTATGAAAATAACTACTATAAGTTGAGTCATATTACGAAAATAACACCCTCAATTATCATTTAAAATTACAAATTGCACCATTAAGAAGTATTATTTTTTATAAATATAAATGTCAACATGGTGTGTCGACATTCTAAGGAGGTATGAAAGATTATTATATTAATCTTGGAATTAAAATAAACTTCATGGATAGCTTTTGTAATCACTCGTTAACTTGGACATGGCTGTCTATGTTTGAAATGCAGTTATGGGCCTAAAGGATCTCCTCCAGTTATACCCCCAAACTCGTGGCTGGTCTTTGATGTTGAGTTGGTGGACGTCAATTAATTGCATTGCATTACGAGATACGGCCCTCAAACTCAAGTTTAAGATGGTATTATGCTGAGTTTTGTTATTAAACTTAATTGGCTTTTCCCGCTTTTGTGTTTTTGGTGTATCCTGGTTTTGTTTTTGTTGCTGTACAAGTTTGGCTGAATTTGGGAACCAAAAGTACTATATGAGATTTTGAATCTTTTCGCATACAATCAATCGACTTGGCTGTAACCATGACTTGATGAAGTCGTGAAACTATAAAGCAATTGGATTAATTTTTTCTGCTATTTGTTTGTTTGTTAATGAGGCACAACTGATTTGTCTGTCATTGTGGATCGTATTCGATTGTTGTGAAATTGTAAACAGAATAATGACAAAACCTTGTGAAACTGTGGTATGACACAAAATGAATATGATTATAGAGACAAATGACATGAGCATGATTCGAAACACGAGACAGAATTATGAAATAAAAAATTAATTACAATTTAGAGTTTATATATAATCTAATAAAATATTTGATATCAAATATCTCCTTTATAAGGTTGCAATAAGTCTATACAGGTCTAACGGTTAGATTGTCATACTTTTTTAACAGATATTCATATTTTGAAGCTAAAATATTGTACTCTAAACAACAATATAAGCAAAAGTAGGACATTCCATAAGTTAAAACATTAACGTGCTTTTGTATGTGATTCTTATCAGAATAATGTTGCTTTGACATATGATGTGTAACCGTGTGATGTTTAAAATTACAAGATTTCGCCACATGTGTATTATGTTAAGTTTATGTTTAACCATTATATTATGTTTAACCATTATTTTTTTTAGGAAAATACAATAAACCTTTTTTTTTTGTTTCAACTACATGGAGCAAAATGAATGGCCACATAATGAGTTAAAGTTGAGGTTGCAACAAAAACTTTCATAGTGATACAAATTTCAAATTGGTCCTACAATCTGCATAAGAAACCAAATAAGTGGCCAACTGGCCATGTGGGTCATATTGGGTTGGTGTGAAGCCCATATTAAACTAGTAACCTAAACTACCGGAGAGAAAAATAGCACGGAGGAAAACATAATAAAAAATTATTTAGGTCCATCGAATGATTCATTACTCATATAAATTACTCAATCCTCTCAATAATACAATAGCTTTCATCCCACACCTCGTAAGTCAAAATCCTGATCTTTTTAAGGTGTGCGAGAAAAGCAGCTTCTTCAACACTTTTTTTTTCCCCCTCTTATTACAAGGCAAACCTTTATATAGGACTGTTCAATCCATCCTCATTCATACAAAAACAGACCTTATTCCATCATCTCTATTTTCCAGCTCAAAATTCTTGAAATTTTTCTCACAAGGAAAAGAAAAGAGAAAAAAACACAGAAAATGTTGGATTACACGATCGAGTTGATCGGCCTAGCTGCTTCCAATTCCCACGCAGTTTTTTGTTTCTGTAATCTCATCATTGCCATTATCCTCATTGGCAGCTCGAAACCAAGCTCACAATTTGACGAGACGAAGCCGAATCATGTTTATTCAAACATTGCCAATTATGAAAATTTCAAAAAAGTTGTAGTTTCTTCATGTGTGGAAGCTCAGAATGCTTTAGTCGAGACTGAGAATGAAAAGGTAACACCTGTGTGTGTAGATGTTGTTGTCGACGAAGATGAAGAAGCTGAAAATGAAAAAGTAGAACAAGAAGATGAAGAAGATGAAAATGAGAAAGTAGAACAAGAAGAAAACGAGGATGAAGATGATGAGTTGAGAAAAAGAGTTGAGGATTTTATCGAAAAAGTTAACAGGGGTTGGAGGGCTGAAAAGATGAAAACTTATTCTTTAGGCCAATGACGATAATCGGATTTTGAAAGGTCGCGATTTTGATTTTGAAAATAACTTTGTATATTATCAATATGATTGTTCAATGTTTTGTATCTGAGTTAAGTAAATGTAACTCTGTTTGTTTGAGTCTGGAAAGTCATGTTTTTTAAGAAATTTTATGAGAAATAAGCTGCAGCGTATAGCTAATGAACAAAAGTATGACACTTTATTATATAAGTACGCATATTTGTCCATAAGAGTATGATAGGTCGACTAATATAACCGCTCTACACTACAATTTGTGAAACCACAATGCTTTTGCTAGTGATAGAACTGATGCCAAGTTAATTGATTCTGCATTGATGTCAAGATAGATGAGAATAAGTAGCACAGCATTAAGAAAGCAGAATGGCAGGTATTGATGGAAATGCAGCGGAAATATAAACAATAATTCTTAAAACTGACAAGAAATCGAAGTAAGTTCCAAAGTAGTAGATATCATAAAGATACAAATATTCTATGGAACCATCGGATGGTTTTTTTATGGAGTCATCCACCACTTAATGTATTGACACCTGTCCAAAGTGTATTTATTGCAGGACACGTGTCAATACACTATTGGTGAATAAGATTACAACGACAATTCCAATGCGATTATTTCCATTGGAATTTTCCAATGAATTCCGAAGGAAATTACACCGAAAAACATCTATTACAGGGTTGGCAAAGTGATCAAATTAATTATTACAATTCGCTATCATCTAATAGCCAAACATTTATATATAATTGTGGGCTATCCAATTTAGGGTTATCCCTAGACATGGCCACGGCCGCCCGGCTCGCCGACCCGGTCTTGACCCGACACGGACCCGGCCTGGTCAAACCCGTTGACCACGGGCCCGAGCCCGGACCGGGTTTTCGACGGGCCGGGTCCGGACCGATGACCCGGTTTTTTATTTTTTATATATTTTTTTGTATTATTCTATACTTTTTCTGTAAAAAATGACGACCCGGCCCGGCCCGGCCCGGCCCGGTTAACCGGGTCATGGACCCGGCACGAACATAGGTCGGTGCCAGTTCAGAGTCTGTGAAACCCAACCCGGAGGCCCCATGGCCCGGCCCGAGTTTTGGCCATGTCTAGTTATCCCCAATTTGTTCGGCTCTTATATCCATCCGAGTTTTGGCCATGTCTAGTTGTCCCCAATTTGTTCGGCTCCTATATCCATTTAATTGTAGCACTATAAAAAAATTGTTATATTCTAATGGAATATCCTATGTTAATATATTTCAATGAAAATTCCAACGGATATCCCAAATTCCAACGGAAATTCCAACAAAAATATTCCGTTGGAATGTATTTTTCATTGGAAATTTTAGATGGAATTTGATGATTCCAACGGTTATATTTCCAACAAGTTTTAACCGTAGGTTTTTTTGTTGGAATATGCAATTTCCGTTGGAATTTTTATTTCCACCACCGTTGAAAAATCTACCGTTGGAATCGTAAAAAATCCAACGGAAATTCCAATGGAAAACTCATTCCAACTGAATATTTTTGTTGCAATTTCTATTGGAATAATTCAAACGGAAATGATAGCATTGAAATATTAATTAGAATTGCAATTGGAATTCTATTGGAATGTATTTCCGTTGGAATTTCATCATTTTCTTGTATTGTAGAAACTAGCCCGTCACATTTCATGTTAATTAAGTAAAAAATATTTTTTAAAATAATTAATTATATGATAATTACTACTAATTTATTAACTAATATCAAATTCACACTAAATATTTATGGAAGTTACACACTTATAAAATTATTTTTAGACATAAAATATAATTTGCTCATTATAATTATGACTTTAAAATATTTTTAGACAAAATATTCATAAAATATAATTTTCTCATTATAATTATGACTTCAAAAATAAAATCAACACATATAACTTACAAAAATTTATTTTCCACAAATGCATACAAGATCAATTTCTGTATTTATATATCAGGTAGAAATAAGCCATACCCTATGATCTTCGAAATAACGATCCACATTTAATTTCATGACGGCGATGAATAGTAAGTTGAGGATTTCATGCAACATCTCAAGCATTTCACTTAAAAACTACCCCCACAAGTATCTTTTATTTCTCTCTAAGTGCAAGTAAATATCTCAGAAGATAAATGATCATTCTATAAGTAGAGCATATTATCCAATATCAATTAGAATCCCATTACTACTACAATTCAATTTTCTTGATAAGGTATCTAACTATTCTTCATATATAAAATAGCTTATCCGTACATTTCTCACAAGTAGACATACGTAAAATTACAAAACACTTCACAGTGCATACTCGCCATGGATAATACATACATTTTCAACCCGATAATTGTTCATCTTTTCTTATTCTTTTCCGTAGGCATATGCAAACAATTCGTGGTGACCGATTTTGGCGCCGTCCCGGATGGAAAAACCGACAGCCGGAAAGCCCTCGAGACCGCGTGGCAGAGAGCATGTCAGACGCCGGGCGGCTCGGTTTTGGTTCCGAGGGGGAGTTTTTTCGTGAGCATGGCGGACTTTTACGGGCCGTGCAAAGGCCCGACGCTGTTCGAGCACCGTGGGACCCTCGTGGCCTCGGCAGACCCCACGCTCGGCGAAAGGGACCATTGGATCATATTTGCCAAGCTGGACGGGTTGACGGTTTTTGGGGATGGCGTGCTTGATGGCAACGGGGCCCTCTCCTGGTCACGATGTGGTGGGTTGGCCCATTGCAAGCAGCAGCTGCCCCCGGCGGTATGAATCTGTCTACTGTAAATAAATGTGACAAAATTACATGTTTTGTGTTTACTTAGTGTTGTACAAGTTGCAACCATAAGTAAATGTGTGTGGCGAAATTTACAATATCTGAATTAGTGTAATTTTGTGTTTATTTAGTGTTGCTACAAGCAGCAACCATAAGTAAATGTGGCAAAATTTCCAATGTCTTGAGTACATGTTTTGTGTTGTGTTTTACCATAACTAAGTGTAACAAAATTACAATATCTAAAGGCATGTTTTAGGAAAAATTGCACCTTTTGTACTATGTTTGTCCTATTTGCACGTACAGCCGTTTTATTTGTTCTTAGTTTAGGTTTGGTACACTATACTATTTTTTTTTTTTTTGGGNGGAAACTTTTGATGTGGCGCCCGTGAAGTAGACACATAAAACCAATATAAAATTATAAAAAAAAAAATCTAAATAGAAAAGACATAAAAAAATAAAATAAATCTTTTTAATGGGTGAGGTGATGATTAATGAGTGGAGCAATTTTTTCCATGTTTCATGTTGTGTCTTGTACCATAACTAAATCTGGCAAAATTACAATATCTGAATATCCATGAATCCATGTTTTGTGTTTGTGTTGGACAGACGTTGAAGATGAACTACGTGACCAACTCCATGGTCCGCGGGGTGCGCCTGATCAACAGCAAGATGTTCCACGTCATCATCTGGGCCTCGGATAGCGTGTGGGTCCGTGGCGTGCGCATAACTGCCCCTGCCAACAGCCCCAACACGGACGGCATCCACATCGGGGACTCCAGCAACACCCAAATCACCGGGTCCCGCATCTCCACGGGCGACGACTGCATCTCCATCGGTGAGGGCTGCACGAGCGTCAACGTCACTCGAGTCCGTTGCGGGCCGGGCCACGGCATCAGCATCGGGAGCCTCGGCAAGTACCCGTCCGAGGGCGGCGTGGGCCAGGTCCACGTGCGCAACTGCACTTTCCTTGGGACAGAAAACGGGCTTCGGATCAAGACGTGGGCCCCGTCCCTCTCGTCCACGGTGGTCTCGGGTGTTGTGTATGAGGAAATCGAGATGCGTGGAGTGAGGAACCCAATTCTCATCGATCAGTTTTACTGCCCTGGCGGGTCGTGCCAGCCTGGCGGGGAGTCGAGCGTGGAGATTAGAGGGGTGAGGTTTGAGAACGTGAGGGGTAGCTCGGCATCGCAGGCCTCGGTCAGCCTCAAGTGCAGCAGGACTCACCCGTGCCGGGACATTGAGTTTGTTGGGCTGCACTTGACCCACGGGGGACGGCCCACGATTGCTTTGTGTGCCAATGCGGATGATAGGTTTGGAGGGTCGGGTCAAATTCCTTCTCGTTGTTCCTGAGCTGGACTAGTTTTGTTTAATTTTGGTTAGATTGAAATGCTAGTTGTTTTTTTCTTTTCTTGTGCTGGGATAATAATTGGCATTTTAGAGTGTATGATTTTGGGGAATCGCAAATGCTATCCTTTGGTCTCATTGTGCTTNAAAAAAAAAAAAAAAAAGAAAAAAACAAACAAACATTTCAATTAATACAAAAAAAGATTGAAAATATTAGGCGTTGGATCGTGAGATTTATGGCACCATATGATGCCCATATGGGCACCATAAAATTTTTGATGAATGTGTGTGTACTTTTATTTTGTTTATCGTTTTATGGGCTACAATTGTCATTTATCAATTATCAGGTTCTAGTTTTGAGTTCATAGTTGTTGTTAATTTAGTTTTATTTTCTGCATTTTTTTCTTTTCTTTTCCAGCCTTATTTTTCTTGTTTTCCAGCGTGTTTGAACAGCTCTGGCATGTTTAACGGCGATTTCACGTACCGTCAATTTTCATAGGAATTTTAATGGTGTGAACGAAAATTGATTAGCAGACAAAAACGTTTGCTTCCGAAATTGATTAGATGAATACATTGGTACTAAAAGTTAAAAAAGGGTAACAAATGAATATTTACCAAATATTAATTATGTGATTGTGCTGATTGAAAAGAAAGATTTTCCAATTATCTAATTGAGGTAAAAGTTAGCATAATTGTCAAAATTTTCCCTCGAAAATAACGGGTGTGGTCCGGGTGGATAAGGTAAAAGTTTCCTCAGATTTTTAGGGGGTGATTGGATATGAATTCAACTAGTAAAAAACTAGTTTTTTTTTAACTATAGTTAAATTTGTAAAAAAGTAGTATGGTTAGTTGTTAGTGGATATATTAAAATTAAAATAATTAAAGTTGATTTGATGTAAAAGTAGAAGAAAATGATTGGAAGTGATGGTTAGTTAAAATTATGTGAGTGGATGAATAGTGAATTAAAGTTGATGTGATGTGTAATAATGATTGATTAATATTATTTAATTATATTGATAATATTGAAGATAGTGGAGTTGAGTTAAAGTTGAGTTAAATTTGAGTTAAATTTGAGTTTTGAGTTAAATATTTACTGCGCAAATTATATACAATCACACCCTTAATTTCGCAACTATTTAGGCTATGTGTATGTTTGAGAGATGAATAAGCTAATTTATAACTTATTTAGTTAGCTTATAAGTTTTCTGTATTTAAATAAGTTTCATTTGATAGGCGAATTTTGTTTTAAAATCTCGAGCTTATTTCATAAGCTTGTTTGGATAGGTTTTTAAATAAGCTCGTTGAAATTTTTATTTTAGCTAGCATATCAACTAATTTTACCAAACATTTTTATCATATAAGCTAAAATTTTTATTTTAAGTCATAAGTTATAAGCTATAAGCTTGAAAATTATTGATAAACTATCAGCTAGTTTACCAAACATAGTCTATTAGAACCAGTAGTTTTGTTAGATAATTGATAGATTGGTTGAATTATGGGATTTGCACAAGCTCATATTCAAAGTAAATGGTGAACTGGTGAAGTGCCAACCATTTGTTGCTTAATTAATAGGGTTTATATTTGTGCTAATGATATATACAACAAATCTCTCCAGTCAGACTTTTGCCTTCATGTATCGCAAATCGAATTGAAATTGGTTCATATACCGGCTCATATATACTTATTTAAATTCATGTAATTCATATTTTTAGACTTTAATTTTACCGTTCTTCTTTGGTGTTTTGTATGAAGGTGCATCAATAATTGGTGTTTCAAGGTCACATATTCAGCAACACTGCAAATTTTCAACAAGTCCAATAAACCACCTGTATGGTCAGGACAAGCATTAAATGTTCAATTTGGGACTAATACAAGCAATTTCAAAACATTAATTCCAGTTTCATACAACTAACATACATAGTAATGTTACACGGTACAAAAATCGACAGAGACAGCACGAAAGAAATCCTAAAATGGGGGCCATCCTAATCTGGTACCTAAACGAGAAACAATAAGTTCAGGTCAAACAGACACTCATGCACTAACTCTGCTCGGCAGTAACTCGAGAGGCGGGTCAGAAACAGTGAGCCTAAAACTTACACCAACGAAAAGAGAAAGTTCTAAAGGATACAAACACAAATAATCGAACTTAGAATACACACAATCAGGATGTTATTTCATGGTTAACATGGCTGGGCTCCCTAGAATCTCCTCCGGGCAATGTAGCATTGTGTTCGTGATTGTCTGTGATTTTGGGCCCATGGGGCCCATGAGTAGAGTTTACATTAGCCAAGTTGAACGAAGCTGATGCAGTCAAATTTGGTTTAGGCCCATTATAGGATGATGCCTCATATCTATGCTCAGAAATAGGATTTGCATCAACGGGAGTGAATGATATTGTATGCTCATAATTCGGTTTTTTAGGTTTTTGCTGCTCTTGCTGTTGTTGTCCCGGAAGAGGGAAACTTCCAATAACAATCTGTAAAACTCAGAAAATTTTAGAAAATTTGATCCACAGAAATGATTTTCATTTTGGTGAGAGAGAAAAAAGTTCAGTTGTCACTTGGTCGTGTTTAACCATTTCACGCTTCATTCAAATAGTAAATCACGTTAATTTATTTATTTTTGATGATTTTCCATGAACAAAGTGTGCTGACCTGGACAGGGCCTGCAGCAACTAACATGCCAGCTAATCCTCCACCCATTACGCGGCCATCGGGCCCAGCTAGGGAGACACTCATCCCGCCAGATCTGCTTTTCGTAAGCCCATTGTCACTAGGCATAAATGATCCTGTAAGAGAAAGGATCTCAAAACGACCCTGTGCGAAAAAAAAAAATAAAAAAAAAATGCATCATTTAACAATTCTTTGCAATGTATACTTCCTAAAAAAATTTAACACATGATGGAAAATACAGACAGATCCAACAAAACCATTTTTGAAATAAACAATAGATAAAAATTCTATCAGACGAAATAAATTTACAAATCCCCGTGAAAACCCATTATTTTGGACCAGGTAAGCAAGTTTTTTTTACCTCATAGGTTAAAGTACCACCAGAAGAATTGGGTTGACGAAGTGTGACATTTGAGATTGTGCCATTTGCAGCCAGAATGCAAATGGCTCTGGACCCCTGTTGAGAAAATGATATTATCTTCATCATGATATCCTGGAATAGAAAAGGCCAAAAGTAAAACAATTAGCAATTCGAAAAAGTAAAGAAAGGCTGTTTTCTGTGTAAGTATCTGATATTTAATTGAACAAAGATGCATATAGTACAGAATGCATGATAAATCATTTTATCATGCAATGCTAAACTTTGTATTAGCTTCAAATAACAAAAAAAGTACAGGTATCTTTTCACATGATATTCTGAGTACACTATTACTACATCTAGTTGCCAAAATGATATCAGCATAACAAAATGAATGACGTTAGCTAAGCTACAAAAAACAAATAAATGACGAGTAAATATGCACTTTCAAGAACATCATCAATAAGGGAAAAAAACATCAACACCTAAACTAAATGTTTGTGGCATACAGATAAATCTGACAAGATAAAGTTCATAAGTTCATTTACACATATTATAAGAAGTAAAATATGAAATAGGGGAGATATACTGCTCCTAGTTTAAAGTACCTCGCCAGTGTTTACAGTTAGCATATGAGGTATAAAACTTCCACTGACAGGGTACGCCNAAAAAAAAAAAAAAAAAAAAAAAATCAGGAAATTAGGAATTTGCTTGAGTACATTCATAATTAAAATATAGTTGATAAATATCATTATCATGTATCACATTCTGCTGGATTATACGGCCTTTATAATAGACAAAACAATCCTTGTGCTGTTGTGCATGCATTGACAGAAAAGATGACATTTTTAAGGATATTTGAAACACTGTCAGTTATTCCACTAGAGTCACACATTAAATACATGTTCAATTAGCACCAATAGCAACTGGAATTCGTAATTCCATGCATATATATAAGAAGGAAATATCTTTCATGTTAAATGGTGTTTATATAAGTTATTTACACCGCAATTCATGCAATACTCTTTCCTAACTCAACACAGTGGGGCCAAGATGATAAAATTTCCCCTTAATCAATCACCAATGATAAATGGAAGACCCCAAACAATCTTTACCTTGACTTTCCGATCTGACTTTTTCGGCTGGAGCTACTTATCCAGTCATTTTGATTAAAGATAAGTGCAACAAAATCAATTATCTGGAAGATAACAGGGTATAGAACATAAACAAGCATAATAAAATTCTCAAGCAGCAGGGAAGAGTGATGACGGAACCTGTTTTCAGGTTTTGTCAGCTGCCTGTTAATTTTCATCCCTTCCCAGACAGAACATAATCCACTTTTCTATTTTCGGTTACATTCACAAATGTTACATCATCTTGTAATCATCATAATCATCATTATTATGCTTCTTTTTACTATTTCTTTCCCTTTTATTCAGACCAAGCAGTTATTAAGTAAAAGACAAGATCTTGTGTCAGGTCACATCACCAAAAGAGACAGCACTAGAAAACAGACAAAGCAAGATTCTTCAACAGATTTTCACAATTCTATTTGCCCAGAGCACAGAACTACCCACAATGCACAGACATCCTTGAGGTTGAGGGACTTAACTGACAAGGTCCAATTCCAAATAGGTTGTCTAAAATAACTCATTTATAGTTGCTCCATAAACAAAAAGGAAGCAAACACACTGCAGCACAAAAAGCAGATCCCAGCAGATCTAGATTCTTCTTAAACACTTGCAACAAACTCCAACACAAAAATACTTCCTTGTCCGAATAATACAAAAAGGCACTCCCAAATACAAAACCACAATCAGCTGAAACAAGAAAGAACAAAAATACCTGAATTTTCAAGCTCCAACTTGGGCTTTTTCTTGAAAGCGTCAACTGGCCGGCTCGCACTGTGCTTCCAAGCTGAAGAATAATCACCGGCGAAGGGAATGGAAGCAGATATAGGCATGGGTGACAGTGCCACAGCAGAACCATCTCCTGAGTACTTTCTTGGCCTACCCCTTCTCTTCTTCATTTCCGTCGACGGCACCTGCGCCGGCGCGGCGGTGCTTGGTGGCGGCGCCGCCGTAGCAGGCGGAGCGGTCGATCCTCCAAACTGGCCGCCTGGATTTTCGACGCTTGGCTCGACTCTGTAGGCCTGAGGGGCTTCATCGCCTTTCACTGTGAAACCAGGGCTGTTTAACCCGTTCTTTACCTCCATTCATATACTGACCAAGAAGATGTATCTGTAAAACCCTTAAACCCTTGACAAAGATTGTTAATACTTAATTAAACCTAAACTCGCTCAGTTATCAAAGCTCGTTTTTTTTTTTTCCCTAGGCTTGAGCTCAAAACACTCAGAACAAAAAAAACCCACTTTGACACAAGAAAAATTAAGAACAGTACAAGGTAGATATAAATCAAGAGAAGCCCAGAAATAAAAGATGAAAAAAGAAACCTTGTTTCAGAAAATCTGTAAATCTAAAAACCAAAGATTCAAGCTTTTACTTTTAACATATCGTCAGAGCACAACGGAGCTTCATAGAATTTACTTACTAAGACCTTTACAGTTTAATCATGGTCTGATCAATGCCATTGCAGAGGAAGGACAGACCAAATCCAACAAAGTTTAAATGGATTTTTTTTTTTTTTTTACAAAAAAATAGTTGGCGTGAAAAACAAAAATTGGGACCTGTAAAATTAGGGTTTTTGCAAGGAAAACTGAAGGAATGAAATAAAGTTGGAGAGAAATTAAGGAAATAAATAATGATATAATAAAATAATTGAAAATTAATTAGGTGAATAAAGCAATATTTAAATTGCAAAATTCAAAGTATTAATTACGGTTGAGAAATGGTTTCGGGTCCGTCTTGGAAATTTAATAAATGGAGTTAAAAAAATAGCAAAGTGATGTGAATTGGAATAATAAATAAAGGGAAATTTGTAAAGATTAAATCTTTATAAATGTAAATGGCAATATATAATTATTTAAACCTGTAAAGCTAACGTTGGAAGCATTCCAAAATTTTCAAATAGTTATGTTCTCTATCTTTTTAGGCAAAAATAAAAGTTGACCATATTTATTTATTTGGAAAAAGATACCCTTGAATTTGTGGGCAATTTGCTGTAATGCCACTGTTCAGTCTTTATTGTGCAAAATTACACAGGAAAATCTGGTAAAAGTGATGGTGCTTGCTTTATGTTTCCTTGAATAAGTACAAAATTATTTCATTAAGACCCCAAAAAAAATAGGATAAATATTCAGACAAGTTATTATGAAGAAGGAAGAAAACAGGGAGAAAAGCAAAATATAATAACTCAGTCTCTCCATTTTTCAGGCGTGCCCAATTGATATTGCACATTTTCATTTATAGAAAAGTGAGACAGTTTATATTAAGAAAATATCTATATACTTTCTGGATGGAACTTGATAACACTTCCAACCTGAAGCCAGGTTACCATTCTGTAAAAATGCTATCTTACACAAGGATTTTAGTCCATTTAATGAAAAAAAAAAAAAAAAATCTCTGGCATCATGACAATTAGTCAAGAATGGCCGATTGACACGTTTCAAAAATAATACATATAGAATATATGTCAATACATTAATACTCCATAAAAGAGCCACCTTTAGCCCTATATAAATTTTTTGTTACAAAAAAGATAAGCTGAGAATCATCTTTATACGTCGAAGCAAATGGTCAAACGAGAAGGGGAAGAATCCTTTTGGTTTTGCAAACCCGAAGTAGTGATCGTCAGACCAATAAGAATGCCAAAAAAGGAAAAATGGAAGCCTCGCATTAGGATAGTTCGTAGACTATGCACACAAAGGATGAAGACAACATAATTGACTTTTATAATACCATATCTGATATCACACAACATCCAAAAACAAATGCAGAAATGATTGCAGCCGAGAATAAAAAATCAAAAAAGGAAAAAAGAAATTCAACAAATCTAAACTCGCATCACGGTCGTTAAATGCGGTCTTGGCAGAACAAACCCAGCCCGCCTTTCTTCAAACGAGTACTCAATCTCCTCATCCGCCGACTTAGCTGCAGGTTCAATCGCCATCTGCACAGGAGGAGCAGCAGTCGTTAAGGCCACCTGCCTTGCAACACGTGTCGTAATTTGGGCTGGCGTTAGGGCCACTTGCATTGGAATAGAAACAGTCGATGGTGTTGAGGGCACCACAGGTATTATTGCCATAGTAGCTTGAGGCGTACGGTTCTCAAATTCTGCTGCCATAGGTATCATTGTCTTGGAAGGCGTGGTGAATGGTGAAGGAGTATTATTATTAACGGTGAGAGTTTTTTGCAGCATGTCGTGGTGTTTTTTGTTCAGGTCTTCCAGAATGTTGTTCACATTATTGGGTTTTGTAGAGTCTGTTGAGGAAATGGGAGAGAAAGGCTTTCGGGTCATGGGGGACTCTAACTCACGAGCAATGTGTGGGTGAGGAGGATTAAGAGAATTTTGTTTTATGGGGAGATCGGCTAAGTCCAAGCCCCTCCTCCCTGAAAATCAAGAAATGCACAAAATATGAATATATATATATATATATATATATATAAGGAGAAAAATGGAACAAGGTTAGAGTGAATTTATATTAGCACGCTTCCAAAAGTATGCAGCCACTTGAACCCTGCAATATGTTTCTAGATTTTGATTTCCTGTTTAGTTGAAATTTAAAAGAACTGGCTTGCATCTCCATATGTAAGTGTTCACCTTTACTAAATAGAATAAATGGAAAAGGATGCAGGCTGAACCCAAAAGTAGCGAAAAGAGCTATTATCAACTTTTATCTCCCTTGATTCGTAAATAAGGATATCTGAACTGTTCTATTATGATTCCTAGCAAAGGCAATGATTATACCCCCCCTAATATCTTTAGAAGAATTGGAAAACACTAAACAACCAGCCAAATTAAAAATTACCGGTAGAAAGGGCTGTAAATCCATCATCTTTAAGGCAATCCTGGTTCGTACGTTCACTTTTCTTGGCTGCACGTGTAGTATTAGGAGTAGCCTTTGCTGAAGAAAGCATGTCTGGCCTAGGAGTTTGAAGCATAGACCCACCAAGGGAGAGTCTTCTATTACTTGCACCAACACCACCACATGACAATCTAGGCCCTTTCTTGGCACTCTGGTTGTTCTTCATAGGGCTTGGCTTTGAGCCATAAAGAGCTTCCTGCTCTGTTAGCAACTGTCCCTGGAGTTTCTTCTGGTCCTGATAAATTAATCAACAAAAAATGAAGCATATCAAAAATTCTTCTTAATGATGCCTTAGCAAGAAAGCCGAGACAAGAAAGGTAGTTACCCTCTGCCTCTTGCGTTCTAGTTCTTTTTCTTGCCGTAAAACCTTGTAGTCTTCAAGCATAGAGAGCAGACGGACCTAGAAATTCAAGATTACAAGCAATTGTGAATTATGGTACCTACAGTGTGTGTGCGTGTGTGTGTGTGTGTGTGAGAGAGAGAGAGAGAGCCACTCACCCCATCATAAGTAAAATGAACTCCTCTTTCATTTTCCCATGCTGTGGTCTTTGAAGTTAATGTATCCACCATCGCTATCCCAGAAAATAAGATCAATTACCGTAAGTCACAGTTTTAATGATTAAGGCTTAAGAACAGAAAATAATCCTCTGAACACAGAATTCAACCATACCAGGAAGTTTGTTGACTAATGCACGGGCTTTCTCAGCACGTTTGAGAGTAAGATGAGCGCCTCTCCCAGCATTATAACGATTCTCATCCTGAAAAAAAAAATATAATAATAATAAGTAATTGTGTATTTGTACGGGAAGTACAGAATAGCAATTTCTACAAAGTCCAACCCTATTATACTCCTCAAGCCAGCTCTCCTCATCACATGCAGCCATCCACTTCTCAACCTTTTCAAGAATTTCTTTCCGGCATAGCGCCTCCTCTCTGACTTTGGATATTTGGATCTCAATTTGTTCAAGCACAAAAGAGGCATCAACAGCACCTTACATAGTTACATTAACCACAAAAACAGAAATGAGAAATAAAGAACTGAAAGAAAACAAATTGCACTATCTTCAAGACCTAAAATATGAAATACCAGATTCAACAGCCTGTATGGCTATGTCAATAGAACCATCGGATCCTGGAATTAAATGTGTCTTCCTACAAATATCTTCAAGCTCTGACTTCTTCTTCAAAACAAGTTCCTTCATCTTGCTTATTTTCAATTCCTCCAATCGAGAAACTTCAGTTTTGACCTGAGAGATACATGATCTACTTTATGACCCAGTCCCAAAGCACAAACATCTATTCGCAAAACGAATGAAAAGTGTACTGAAAAAATATTGCAGCATATTATGGCCCTCCTGAAAAATCTCGACTCACATAATTAATAAAATCAGCAGAAAGCATGTCGGCTTCTGTTATCTCGTCTTCAGAAGCAGCTATGTTACATGTAACTTTCTGAAACATTTGTTGCTCTTCGATTGGTGTGTCCATCAAGTTCCAAAGCTCCAGCAATGAACTCGCTAGATCTTGTAACTAACCAACAATAAGCAATTAAAAAACTGTATCATTGAACAGAAAATATCTCTTAGGCAACAAATGAAATATGGGCATACCTGCTGCATTCTCTGCATTTTAACCTCTCTGAGACTTTGTATGGCAGCCCCCAATTTTTCTATAGTATCATTGCTAATGTTTTTTGAAGCATCAGGTTCCCCTAAGCTTGGATGAATCTCACTAGCAGTTTGCTCAAAATCCAAACCGAGCACTGAGCAACATGAGTACAAGTAACTCAGCTGCTCCAGAACCTGTTTCAGACGTTCACACTGCAAGGAAATACTGTCAGGAAACATATCTGAGGATAACCATTAATAAGGAAAAAATGACCACATTTAGATTCAGAAGATAACCTTTTCTTTCTGAAGTGCCTGCAGTTCTCTTTGCAATTCTTCGAGATATCTCAAAGACAAATCATCCACTGTCGTCTCATTTGAAGAATAGCCTCCTGGACTATTGATTTCATTCTTAATATTTTGTATCTCTTTCTTCACCTCTATAAACTGATTTTTCCTATCAGCTTTCCTCTTCCGCATCTCCTCTATCTGGGGGAGGATGGCTCTGAGCTCAGCCTTCAAGCTTCCAGTGCTTTGATCAGACTACACAAGAGAAGACCGTCCATTGACTTAATTAATATACCAACACAAGTCTTCGATTCTCTATTAATTTATGCTTTGATGTAAAGTAAGGATTTTGAAACAAGTATCAGCAGTCATGTCTCAGATGCTGATCAAAATTTTCCGCAAATCCCATTTCAGTGAAATCATAAATATTTACGAACTAGGACATTTGATCTTGGACCCTAACCTGCCTAATGTGCACTGGGCGCTCCCCCATTGAAGAGCATATGGCAGCAAGCTCAGCCTCAGCATCAGCAATTGCCTGCCTCAGCTGAGCTCTACACCTGTTTGCTTGATCTACTTTTCTTCTATACACCTCCAAACATTCTTGTTCCAGTTCGTGCAACATCCTGTCCTTCTCAGAATCCGTTTCCCCAACCTCATCCCATATTATCTGATAGATTTACCAAACGAAATGTGATGAAGACGATAGATGATTGTTAACAGAAAATTCTCACCCCTGGAGACCAAGAAGAACGGAGGAAAACACAGAAGGGTATAATAAAAATAAAAACAACACAATCAACTAGACCTAAGAAAACATTATACCTGAAGTTCATGTAGAAGAGTCCCACATGTAGTTTCCGTTTGAACTGATGCCATTTTTTTGCTACACCTGCAAATGAAAGGAAATAACAAATCACAATCACAATTAACATCCAAGTTAGCACTATCAAAACACTTTCCAACTTCAGGAAGGGACGTAACTACAGAAGGACAAGCCACGTCTAAGAAAAAAGCACCCCCCTAACACTAAGTAGCTCCAATAAATAAAGTGTGGGAGACCATAGCCCACTCATAGTTGAATTCCAGTAAAACAATGTGCATGTGCATATCTAAGGTTTGAAGTCTTCATAAACAGATCCCAGCATATTGAAAATCCGAACAATATAACCTACATACTGTTACTCAAAATAACTTCTTCTTTTTTTTCAAGACGTATCAATTCTCAAGTGCAAACCAGCTAACTAATAATTTCTCCAAGCGAAATTAACCTAGCCCTCTGCATCTAAATCATCCGCATAACTATTCAGCCAAACAAAACCTACAAATTTCTTCAATTCAAGAAGTCCACGAACCCCACTACAAAACCTAATCAACAAAAAGAACAAACTACTTTTTATCCCTTCCCTTTTTTTACCCAAACTCGTCATAAACATTGACGTACCCACAGTATCCCCACAATTTTTCGGCCCCTGTTAACATACTCACCAATCACAAGACCAAATCAAGAAATAGAACAAAAGTGTAGATCCGAGAGCGTACCTGAAAATCAAAACCCAAAATAGACGAAAAAATCCTGTCTAGGCACGGATCAGGAGCAGATTTGCGCAATGCGCTCGTGTCTGAAGGGATTAAAAGGATTTTCGAAATTTGGTACTGAAGAGTAAAAGCTAGTGAGAGAAAGTAGGGTGAATGAGAAAAGATTCAAATATCCGACCGTTGAGTGGTGAAAGAATAATTGTGAGAGATACAGTGTGGGCTCTGCCTCTCTGCTGATAAAGATTTGAAAATACGATAAGAGGCAATGGAAATTTAATTTGAAGCTGTTTGTTAACGTTCTCCAACTGTGACAAAATGTAAATGACAGGCGATTCAAGGCTGCTCACGTGGTTGGGCAGGTTGTGAGCTTGTGCCCTAGCTTTTTCAATTTTGTTGTCATTTTGACCAAGGATTATGTACATGATTATCCCTGTTTAAAGATGATTATGTACATGATTGTACCTAATGTATATATGATCAACTTATTTTACACACGTTGGGTAGAATTGGTGCCCGTTTATGTTATATCATCAAATAAATTATAATTAAATATTCTGAAAAACACTTCTTAAATTAGGAGCGAAGCCATAATTTAAAATCTCCCATCTNAAAAAAAAAAAAATGCATACCACATGAATAAATGAATAAATCATAAGAATAACCGACTAAATAAGAAATTAATCATAAATATAAAAATAAATTGTTGCTCTTACGTTGTCTAACCGTTAGACAATTATGTTTTATTATTACAATATACATACTTATATAAAATGATACACTTTTATTTATAGTGTAATAAAAAATATGACATTTTAATATGAAGATATATATATATATACACATTGAAAATTATGAATATTTAACTATTAAACAGACAAATAATATACTTATCAATTACATATATTTATTAAACAAAAGTAGACATGGCCACGGGCTACCCGGTCCGTCGACCTGGCACGGACCTATCCCGGTCAAGCCTATTTGACTACAGGTTTGGGCCCAACTCAGATTTTAATCGAGTCGGTCAAAGGCCTTGCTTTTTCGACCCTGGCCTGGCGGATTCGGCCCGAGAAAAACCACATATTTTGTTTGCTTTTTTGTTTCTTTTTTTTTTTTCTTGGATGGGCCCATACCCGAGTTGGGCCCGGCCCAGCCCACTAAGTCGTGGACCCCACACGAGTCTAGTTCCGGGTCCATGATTCTGAGCCCGTTGGCCCACCATCTAGAAATTAACTCTTATAAAAGTGAACAAGGACCCGAAACTTGAAATGTATCGTCATAAACACAGTTCACATTCACAAGATCAGAGATGATTGTTATAGTACGGTCACTACGGTGCATTGCGTTTTGGTTTCCATCAATGGATACAAAATATGAAAAAATGAATGGTTAAAGGGGGTAAATAAAAAAAATTCAAAACAAAAGGATCAAATCTTGAAGCAATTGGGCAAATATAATTAAGGGGAAAATTTTCAAAATGAGAACTCCAATCAAAGGCCTGATTTGTAGGGAACACCTGTTTCCTTAATCCACTTGTCACCATGAATGAACGGCCCGACCGTAAACTTCTTAACTTGGCTAGCACTTAGATTTAGCTTCAAACCCCTCCAGCTGACCCTATTCCTGGTCCCGGACCCTGGGCCCACATTTTGGAACTCGGCATAGAAAATCGTGTTCGGGGCCGATGTCCCGACCCACGGGAGCCAACCTTTCGGGTCAATTAACCCGCCCATCACACTGTTGAAAAACACCGTAGTCGAATAATTCTTCCAGGGCCGGCCCAAGAATGTGCTGACACCCGTGAGATTGGCCGCGGGCAAAATGGTACAGTTCTGGATTGAGATCCCCGTGTTTTGGTTTGGGTCAATCTTGCCTTGGGCCGTGATGGTGTTTTGCTGGCCCAACATGGGCTTCTTGGGCTGGATGTTGCAATTTTGAAGGACAACGGCCGAGTTTCCGAAAATGAAGTCCACGGTTCCGTATATGTTGCAGTCGCGGTAGAATTGTCGGTTGGAATGCGCGTAGAGAGTGTCTTGGAATGCATCCATTGTGCACCGGTGGAAAACCGAGAGGTCAGCCGTCGACATTAGGGCCACGGCCTGGTGCTTGTCTGGGCCAGCCGTGTTGCGGAAGCCCATGTCACGAGCAATGAATCCTTGTCCAAACACGGCTATAGTTTCACACACGAGCATGAATAGCGTTAGCAAACTTCGATTTTGACTGATAGTTAAGTAGTCATATTATTGTTTTGAATAAAAATACATTCTTATACTTTTAGTTATGTTATTTTTCACATTTATATATGAAAGCATGAAAATTTTTAAAAAATGAAACCATTATTCAACCTAAAATCGGACATGAATGCACTCACCAAATGTAGCAGATTGAAATGTGGGAGTGCCATCAATAAAGTTAAGGCTGCCTGAAACAATGGTAGCATCCTTTCCATCTCCAACCATCATCACATTCCACATTGTTTTCTCAACTCTAACATTCTCAAAATAAACTCCTTTCTTCACATAGATCACAAATCTCTTGTCACTCTTTTCAGGCACATCTTTAAGGGCATCCTTAATTGTCTTATACTTCCCACTCCCATCTTTTGCCACCACAGCATCAACTTTGATCTTCGAATTCGGAACCTGCAATAGCTTCCGATCTTTAAACGACATCCATTCCGGCCCATCAAGGCCCATCAAGCGCCGCCTCCTCCCGATCGCCCCCAAAGCCCCAATCGACTCTTCGAACGAGCTAATAATAGCCAAGCTATTGCTCGTGTACTCAGTGGAATTCTTGAAAATATCGCTCACGAAGCCACTCGTCCTGCTCGATGAGCTTTCCAAGTCGTCTACGCACGTCTGCTGATAGGTCCCGGCCGAGCTAAGCCAAGTCCTCAAATCATCAAACACGTCGAATAATTTTGCATCCTTAACGGACAAAGAGTTGTTGAGATGATCCAACGCAAGCGAGAACAGTTCTCGGCAGCTTTCGACTGCGGCTAGCGTCGTTTTATCGGTTGTGTTGAATTTCTTGGCCGCATTTTCGGAAAATTTCTGTGAGGTTTTCGAAAGCTCGTCGATGGCCGCTTGAACCGATAGTTTGTACAAATCTTGGGGATTGAAATTGCCATTTTTCACCAAGGGGGATAGAGTGTTGTAGCACGAGTCGGGATGTAAGGTGACGTTGCAAATGGCTTTGACCGATGTGGACATGGAATTTGCAAGGCTTTGTTCTGATGAGTTGTTTCTGGTTTTGGTTTGAACGACTCCAACAACGGTGGAGACTATGATGCAAACGAGCACGACAGAAGATACTGCAATGATTGTAATTCTTCTACGCGCTTTTCTTTGTGCGATGATCCTTTCTTGCTCGGCTTCATCGAGCTTGCCATAGGGGTTGAGAGTGGCCATGGGTTTGGATTTTT